GCAGCCAGGCCTGCAGCCCACCTCGGAGCGCTCCTGGGACATCGCCGAGCAGCCAGGCCTGCAGCCCACCTCGGAGCGCTCCCGGGACATCGTCGAGCAGCCAGGCCTGCAGCCCACCTCGGAGCGCTCCTGGGACATCGCCGAGCAGCCAGGCCTGCAGCCCACCTCGGAGCGCTCCTGGGACATCGCCGAGCAGCCAGGCCTGCAGCCCACCTCGGAGCGCTCCCGGGACATCGCCGAGCAGCCAGGCCTGCAGCCCACCTCGGAGCGCTCCTGGGACATCCCCTCTGGGGAACTTCCTCTCCCTCCACAATGTGGCTGAGTAATCCTTAACTATGGCATATCTCCTTTCATCAGGAGAGTCCTTTGGATAAAGGAAGCTACGCTCAGGCCTTCCTAATGTGCATCTTGGAAAGGTAAGCGTAACAAGAAATAAAGACAGCGGCTTCCAGGATGTGTTTTATACATCCTAAATAAGAAGCCATCTATTGCTTCATTGGAAATAACAAAAGTTCTCAATCCCCAAGTTTAGCATTTTGGTAAAACAAATATTTAGTAATAAGCATCAATTTTATCACAGTACTTACATGCAATCTCAGAATGAAAACCATTCTAATTAATTGGTTATCAAATATTCACTGAATGCATCTAGCAATCAAGTTTCATTTAACATTTGAGTTTAAATAAATGCAAATAATCACAGCATTAGTTACTTGCTGAAGTTTCCAGTTTGCGCTTATGAGGTGGGTCTTCAATGATCCTGTTGATGTCGCCGCGGTCCTTGAGATCCATCGGCTTCTCCCACACGGACAGCTGCATTGTAGGGTTGAAGAAGAAGACTCTGTCATCTCCAGTCCAGACTACGCACCTATTTCAATTGATAAATTACGCTTAGATAATATCAAACACACTTACGAACAAGACATTAACTCATGGCTGGGCGGTCGTACATTGGCGTACACTGCCCTGCTGAGACCCATGTCAAACCGGCAGCGCGTACAAGGCCCTGCTACCCCACTCAAGTTATCTTGTGTACAGTAACTCCTTCCATGTCAACGAAACACCACAGAAATGGTAGAAAACACTCCGTAAGAGCAGCAGATCCCATATTTTATTGTGGTAAGAGACGAAATAGGAAGAAAATAGGAAGGTTCAGAGAGAAAGAAGAAACAGGAAAATACATTTCATATTTTACAGACAGTAACTGAAAGTGGGAAAGCCCAGAACGCTGGATAGCTGCTGAAGAAAGCTAACAGCCACTCTATATGCCGGCTCACTTACACATGCACGCACGCAATGGGAATCTGCTCGTCTCCTGAAACACAGACACCTGGAAGGAACAAATCTTATTACTAGGAGTTCTGCAGCGCTTACCTGCTATTAGCACAGCAGGAAACAGAGCTCTTTAAAATAAGCCTGGTCTGGGGAAAAGACTGCAAACAGGGAAACGGCACCGCATGGCAACACAGCTTCCCGGAGCGCTCCGACACGTCCTGTCCGCTGCCGGCACGGCCCCAGCGCCGGCCCGGCCCCAACCCACGGCCCAGACGACACCAGGACGCCAAGGACGTGACAAGGACCAGGACATGACAAGTGCTTCAATAACCTCCTGATGACTCGAGGTTACGGATGCTTTGGACCCCCAGCGCGGCTCCCAAGCCCCGAGGCCGTGGCTAGCCGTGCTGAGCTGCCGGGCTCTGCCGTGGCCCCCGCCGCGCGCTGCAGTCACCCCTGCCACGAGGCACCGCCGCGGCCTCTTGCAGGGTGTTTCAGCCCTTCTCGGCACAGCGGAGCCTGCCTGCAGGGTGGCTTGGAACAGAGACTCCCCAGGGCCATGAATGTCACAGTCACACCAGGAGAGGAGCAGCAGCGCAGCGTTGAGGTGAAAAGGGCAGATTTTGCTGATTTATCCTCTTGTTAAATATTAGACTTACAATCAGGATGGAGGTCAATCCCATGTGCAAACGCCTGCTTTGAAACGTCCCTCACTGTAATGTATTCCATTGGCAAATGAACACACTGGAATTTGAGTCACCAGGGGAATTACTTGCAGATCCGACGGTGAACTTGCGACCGGCGCGTTTAGGATCGATGAAGTGCTCGCACGTGCGCAGGACCACGCTATTCCCTGACAGAGACTCTAATCGGTATTTACAAAACCCGTGTTTTGGCCCTGCTTGTCTCCTGATGCACTTGCTGCTGCTCAGGCCGCGCACGCACTGCTGATGCTGCTCATTAATCACCGGGCGCCACCGGGGCTCGCTTGCTATTACCCACGCTGGAAACTTTGGGGTCCCTTGTGACGCCTTGTCTTTTTTCTGCAACTAATGCAATTTGACATTTAATTAAAAATTAGTGTACCTTTCCCAGAATAACATCTCACCTGTCCCTCCCTGGGAAAACAACAGTTTCAGTTATCCAAGGGGAAGCGTGGTGTTTTGTCACAGAGCATTACCTGGAACTGCGGATCCTGGTAAGCTCTTTTCGTCCATTTAGGAAACTGTAACTTAAGTACAAGTAAGATTAGGAATAAAACTGCTATAAAATGATAGTATTAATATATCTTATTTATTTTAGAAGGTAAGTAAGGTTTGGTAATATTCTTGAATTTTTTTCTGTTATTACAAATTACACTGTAGCTAATGATGGCAGATCTTCCTGCATTCCCCTTTTTTTTTTTTGGATTGATTTGTTAACTCGATGCCTGGAAGCAGCCATGAGATGCGTTAAGTCACAGATGTTTTGGGGTTGGGCACTCCTGCCCTAGGCTCCTCGATAGGCCACCTGCCATGAGGTG